TGCCCAGGAGCCCGCCGCAGCCCTCTGGGAGGTGTGGTTCCCATGGCCACTCCTCACGCTGACCCTCTGACTCACCGCTGTGTCCCCCCAGATGTTCCAGCACCTGATGCAGAAGCGGAAGCACATCCAGTGGACGTACGGGCCGCTGACCTCCACTCTCTATGACCTCACGGAGATCGACTCCTCTGGGGATGAGCAGTCCCTGCTGGAACTTATCGTCACCACCAAGAAGCGGGAGGTATGGGTCATTGGGTGGGAACGAGCTGGGGCGGGGTGGAGTCGGGGTCTCTGAGCTGCTTGCTCTGTTTTTCTTCCCCTGAAGGCTCGCCAGATCCTGGACCAGACACCCGTGAAGGAGCTGGTGAGCCTCAAGTGGAGGAGATACGGGCGGCCGTACTTCTGCGTGCTGGGTGCCATCTACCTGCTCTACATCATCTGCTTCACCATGTGCTGCGTCTACCGCCCCCTCAAGCCCAGGACCAATAACCACACGGGTCCCCGCGACAACACCCTCCTTCAGCAGAAGCTGCTTCAGGTGACACCCCAGGAGCAGCAGAGCTTCCGGGCGGGATCTGCTGTCCACCCTTTCTCAGACCCGCATCTCGTTCCTGCTGGACAATCCCCATTTCTCCCCGCGCCCAGCTCTCAAATACGTAGGCACAGACATGGGACGCCCAGGTGACTCAGTCCGTTAGGCGGCTGCCTTTGGCTCAGGTCATGATCCTGGGGTCCTGGGATCAAGCCCCCAGACAATCTCCCTGCTCAGCAGAGAGCCTGCTTCTCTCTCTCCCTCTGCCTGCCGCCCTGCCTACTTGTGTTCTCTCTCTGTCAAATAAATAAATGAACTCTTAAAAAAAAAAAAAAAAGAATCTGACAGGGCTGGTGACCCTACCCAGGGAAACTGTCTTGTGCCCAGGAGTGGGCAGGGTGGATGTACGGAAACCCTGAGTGTCCTGACCATGTTTCCCTCTCAGGAGGCCTATGTGACCCCCGAGGATGACATCCGCCTGGTGGGGGAGCTGGTGACCGTCATTGGAGCTGTGATCATTCTGCTCGCAGAGGTGAGGTGTGGGCAGGATCTAGGAGGAGGCTGCTTGCCCCAGGGATCCAGTCTGAGCCGCAGGCTACAAGTGCCTTTGTGTCTTCCTGGCCCCTCTCCAGATTCCAGACATCTTCAGGGTGGGGGTCACTCGCTTCTTTGGACAGACGATCCTTGGGGGGCCGTTTCACGTCCTCATGTGAGTCTCCCTTCTCTCCCCCTTTCTCTGCCCTTCCTTCACTCCCTGGATCCTGACCCCCGGACATTCCCTGGAGAAAACTGAGAAGCCTTCTCCAGCGATGAGTGTGGCCCTGTGTATTGAACTTGCAAAGGCCAAATCTGAGTGTGTGGGTGTTGCCTCCCTCAGCCACTCTTGCTCTTGTGTCCCAGGATAATCCCAGTCTCCTCTCACACTCCTCTCTGTCCCCTCCCCTCCCAGCATCACCTATGCCTGCATGGTGCTGGTGACCATGGTCATGCGGCTCATGAATGCCAATGGGGAGGTGGTGCCCATGTCCTTCGCGCTGGTGCTGGGCTGGTGCAATGTCATGTACTTCGCCCGAGGATTCCAGATGTTGGGCCCGTTCACCATCATGATCCAGAAGGTCTGTGCCTCCCTCCAAGCTTTCTAGAGAGAGGTCCTAGAGCCACGGCTGCTGCAGACATTTTCATAAAGGGCCAGATAACAGATTCGCAGGCTTTGAGAGCCACATAGGGTCTCTCCTGCGTATTCTTTTCTTTTCCTCCTTCTTGTTTTTGCATTCCTTTAAAAATGTAAAAACCCTTCTCAGTTCAAGGGCTGTACCCAAACAAGCCAAGTAGATTGGGTGTGCAGCCGTGGTGTCTAACCTCTGGAGGGTGGAACTGTCGGGCTTCCTGGGAGACATGTGAGAGGTGGCAAGGAACAGCTGTCCAGGGGACCCATGTGGAGGTATTTTCCTTTTCCTCCTCCTTTAGATGATTTTTGGCGACCTGATGCGGTTCTGCTGGCTGATGGCCGTGGTCATCCTGGGCTTTGCCTCAGGTAAATCACCTGTGCGGGATGGGCCCTCGCGGGGAGAGGTTGGAGGAGCCCAGAGAGCCCAGAATGGCTGTGGATAAACCTGGGGGAGGTGAGATGGAAGGCCAAGATACAAGGCCTACAAGATACAATGTCTGAGGATGGAACTCGCCTTGGGGTGAGACAGAACTGGGAGTGTTATGGAGATGTGGCTCCTGGGATCGGGATAAGCCATCCAGAAAATAAGGGACTCTCAGAACCCAAAGCATGGAGCCACAGAGGGCCGGGTGGGGATGCCGGAGATGAGGGAAGTGGGACTGAATTGGGCAGCAAAGAGCTGGTCGTGGTCCAGTCACGTATGTGGTTGCCATGGTAACCCTCCATCCCCTTGGGTGGAGCAGCCTTCTATATCATCTTCCAGACAGAGGACCCCGACGAGCTGGGCCACTTCTACGACTACCCCATGGCACTGTTCAGCACTTTCGAGCTGTTCCTCACGGTCATCGATGGGCCTGCCAACTATGACGTGGATCTGCCCTTCATGTACAGCATCACCTACGCTGCCTTCGCCATCATCGCCACACTGCTCATGCTCAACCTCCTCATCGCCATGATGGGCGACACTCACTGGCGGGTGGCCCATGAGCGGGATGAGCTCTGGAGGGCGCAGGTGAGCCCCTTGGTGGCTGGGAGGGTTCGTGCAGGTCGTTCCCTCCCAGCCAGGGACTGGGGAGAACTCACATAGAAGCAGGATATTTTGACCCGACACGTGTCTCCACGGTCACTGTACAGTACACAGAATAACGCAGAGCGTCCAGAAGCACTGGACTGGCACTACTGCGGCAGTACTTGGATAGCTGGAAAGAATTCTTCATAGTTCTCTTGAAAATTAAAACCTCAGGCGTCCTAGAAGAGTCCACAAGAAATCAACCAACAAGAAATAAAGCTAATGGAGACTAAAAGTGCATTTAGTGAATTAGTCTGTAAAATCTGACCCAGAAAAATTGGACTGGTTTAAAAAAAAATGCTGTGAAAACTTCCCACAGTAACAGAAGTAATCTTCAGTAGGATCATCGTTATAGAGCCAGAAGACCATTCAAATGAATCAAATCATTTGAAAAGATACTTTAGAAAATAATTTCTCTCAACAGAATTAAAAATGAACATCCCCCAAATTGAATGGCACTTAGCTGTGCTGTGTAGGAAACACAGTTAAAAGGCCCTAAATTGGCTAAATGGGGTTTGCTCAGGAAAATATGTTTTCCATGCAAATGTATTGATATTAGATTTCTCAGTAAGATATTAGCATTTTTAAATGGACTTTATGTCTGTAGGATCAAAATATCCTGTGGCCCCAAGGATCCCTTTCTCTTTGCTTTGCCTTCCTTCCTGTTTCCTTGGACCGAGGTCTCTCAACCTCCTGCAGGATCAGCATGGAGGTCAGGTCACGGGGCAGAGAATTGCGGGGCTCATGTTCCATTGACTCCCACGGAAGTGGGTCAGTCCAGCTGATACCACCCACCCCCAGCTCAGGGGTGTCGTCTGTCCCTTCTTGGAGACCATGAGCTCCTGTGTTTCCTAGCTATCGCTTAACTGTCCTTCCTCCACCCAGCACCCTTTCCTCTCCCCACCCTTCTATCTTTCAGTCTGCACCCAACCTCTGCTGGCCCCTTCTGTCCCCACACACAGGTGGTGGCCACCACGGTGATGCTGGAGCGGAAGCTGCCTCGCTGCCTGTGGCCTCGCTCGGGCATCTGTGGGCGCGAGTATGGGCTGGGGGACCGCTGGTTCCTGCGGTGAGTGACCCATGTGGGGCCGGGCGCCCCTCTGCTCGGACAACCTCCTGCTCCCAGGGTCCCCATGTGGGCTTCCCGCTCCCTGGCCCCTCGCCTGCAGACCTGTATTGACCTGAGGGTACCACACTGGATCCCTGCTGCTAAGGCAGGGGGTGCTGGGGTGGGGTGCGCACCAGCTGCACAGGAAGGAAAAGGCCAGTTATGGCAGGAAGCAGTGAGCATAGGACACAGGCCAGGTCCGGGACCAGCCCTTCCATCCCTGGCTGTCCCTCACAGCCTCCTTCTCCACAGGGTGGAGGACCGACAGGATCTCAACAGGCAGCGAGTGTGGCGCTACGCGCAGGCTTTCCACACCCAGGGCTCCGACGACTTGGACAAAGGCTCAGAAAAACTGCAGCTGGGCCACCCTTTTGTCCCCCACCTGTCCCTCTCTACCCCCTCCGTGTCTCGGAGTACCTCCCGCAGCAGCACCAACTGGGAGAGGCTCCGGCAAGGCACCCTGAGGAGGGAATTGAGGGGCCTGACCAACAGGGCTCTGGAAGATGGGGATGGCTGGGAGTATCAGATCTGAGCGTGCTCCATCTCATGGCTGCTCTCCTTTTCCTGGGGCATCTGAAGACAACACTGAGACACCCAGAGGTCTGATCTCCCAGGTCCAGGGGGAAAGCAGAATGCAGTCTGAGGAATGCCAGCTGGGAATAACCGCCCCAGGTCCCACTACTTGTTCAGCTCTGGGGCGAATGGAAACCAAGGAGGGAGGTGGCCCTCGCCTCACCCCGAGCACAGGGCTGGTGCCAGGGGGCACCAAGCTGAGTGGCTCTTCGGCCTTACGGAAGTACTCTGCACTGTCAGAGCAAAGCACTTTAAGGACAGGCTTGCCGTCTCTACCCCAGTGTTACGGTGGGAAGGGGAGAGCCCTTCCCAGGGTGCTCCAGACAGCTGGGAGGGAGGCTTGTGGAAAGCATGAGTGGGGGGGACAGGTACCGCTTTGGGGGTGGAGTGAAGCTGGTTGAGTCTTGCCACCTTCTACCTTCCAATAAAGTCATTCCCTGCTCTGTGCCCTTGTGCCTTCAGCTGGATGGTGTCGCCTGTTGGCAGTGGCCCTGTGCTCCTCCTCCAAGACCTTCCCAACCCCTCCTTGCAGACTGAGGTCTCACCACACCTCCAACTTGCAAAATTTCTTCTTTGCCTTTAATGCAGGGGAGGGCGGAGGAGGGCAGAGGACTAGGGAGTGAAGCGTCCAGAGGGTGGGGTGTAGTGTGGCAGGCGCCTCTTGCCGAGGCCAAGATGGAGACGGGCTCTGGTGTTCCTTGTCCTTCCTTGGGCCTGTGTCTGGGGCTGGGACATAGGCATCGTCCCCTCACAGCCGCCTGCCCGGCCTCAGACTTCCACGGAGCCCAGCTCCCTCAGGTGCTGCTGCAGGAGCTGGATATTGTGCAACAGCTTCTTCTGGTGGCCAGCCAGTGTGATGCCCAGGGTGGGCAGGTCTCTGGTGGTGGGGAAGGAGTGGGTCAGGTCTGGGCCGGCTCCTCTAAGATCCCCGGCAGGACCCCTGGCTTGGAGCCCAGCGGAACCCCCACCCCGCCTCTCCCGGCTTACTCCAGGCTGAGCTGAGCCACATCACTGAAGGTGCAGAGACCAAACTTGGAGAAGTTGTCTTGGTAGCACTCCAGTCCGATGGCCGAAAGCCAGGCCTGGGGTGAGTCCAGAGAAGGAAAGTCCAGGGCCACAGGGTTCAGAAGGGCCTGGGAGGGTCTAAGTGGGGGAAGGGGAGGTCAACATCTCCCTTTTATCTTAGCCCCCTGTCCTCAGTTTTCTTTCTGGTTTGTATATACCCTCCCTGGTTGCCCGGGCTCCAGCCCCAATCTCCAGACCTGTCCCCAGGGCCCCCATCAGCCTGCAGAGTGTCTGGTTTTCGGATCATCTTGTCAAATGCAGCCACCAGATGGTCAAAATGAGGCCGCTGGGTACGGTCCTTCTGCCAAGTGTCTAGCATAAGCAGGTGTAGTCCAGGAGGACAGCCTGGAGGCGGGGGAAGCCGGAACTCCTGCTCTATTGCATTTAGCACCTGGGGGTTAGTAGAGAAACATGGTGATGGGAAGCTATTGCTGGCAGAAAGGCATATTCTGTTAGGTCAGTGGGTGGGCTGGGATCAGGTGGGGTATGCAGTCAGAGCGGGGAAGGAACTTAAAAATAAGGAAGCCAAGACAACTTAAAATCTCAGTGGGTTAGAAAAGAAAAGCCAAGAATGTACAAACCTGTGAGGCTGGTGGGTTGGAAGGATGGGGGTGGGGAATGAACAATGTCTGGGTCAAGAGCTCACCTCCTGGTCACTCATGTCCCAGTAGGGCCGCTCTCCATAGCTCATCACTTCCCACATCACTATCCCAAAGCTCCAGACGTCACTGGAGGTGGTATGTTTTCCATGTGCTATAACTTCTGGGGCTGCCCAGCGAAGCATACAACTTGGGCCCTGAGAGGTGGGGTGAGAAGCAACAAGAGCAATAATTATAGCAGCGGTCACATTTATCGAGCAGCTCCTGTGTGCTCTGAGGTCTGCTCAGGGTGCGCTTCTGGATGGAGCGCAGGCGGGCTCCATTCCTTCAGACCCCAGGGCACACCGCCGGCGGTACGCACCCCAGGTCCCAGCTCATCCGCCAGCACCCTCTGGAAAAGGCAGAGCCCCTGAGACCGTGCTCTCACCTGAGGACTGTGGCCAAGACGAGCCACTTTGCACACCAGGTGGCTATTCACCAGCACGCTGTGGGCAGAGAGCGCGCGGTGCACGAAGGCGAAGCTGGACAGGTACTGCATGGCGGCTGCCACTCCCCGCTGCATGGCCACCAGCTGCAGGCTGCTGAACTGGCCCTCCCGCTGCTGCTGGGGGCAGGGGGCAGAGGTCAGCTGCCAGCAGTGGGGTGGGGAACCTCCATAGGCCAGGGGCCAGACATCAGCAGGAGAGGAAGGAGGGGCTTAGGGAATCAGAAGACAGCCTGGGAAGGATGAAGACTAGGAGAGGTGTCTGGTCTCCGGGACTGTTGAGAACTGCAGACTTCCCTGGACCCAAGGCCGCCCCACCCACCCCTGGGCCACACTGACCCTGAGGAAGCTGTCCAGGGGGCCCAGCTCCATGAGTTCCGTCAGCACCATGAGGGGCCGGCTCTTGGTGACAACGCCCTCCAGCCGCAGGATGTTGGGGTGCTGGAACTGGCCCAACACTGCAGCCTGGCCTAGAAAGGTCATCTGGAGGCTCTCCGCACCTCCAGCCCACAGGGCCTGGATGGCCACGGCCTGCTCCCGCCGTCCCCGGGGCTGCAGGCGGCCCCTGCGTACTTCTCCAAAGGAGCCTGGGAGAACGGGTGTAGGTGGAAGGCTATTGAGGAAGGACCCCGGGCTTGCGGTATCCTGCCCTGTTTAGAGGGGATCCTGCTAGGGAAGGCTCGTGGGGGCTCCAGCCCCTCCCGTCCCCTTTCTCTGCCCCTGCACACCTGCCCCAATGACCTCCTCGATCTTGATATATGCAGGATCCACCTCCCTGGTAAACTCTCGGATGGCCTGGCAGGGGTCCTCATATGTGGAAGGGTCGATGTAATACTTCACCCCAAGACCTGTAGGCAAATGGGGTGCATGAGGAGGGTGTGGTACGAGGTCCGGCTGCCCACACACCTCAGGCAGGTCCTCTTCCTTACAATGGCAGGGCCGAGAGGTTCCCCTGGACCACGGGGGAACCTCGTCTTCCCTCCTGTGCTCAGCTCCCAGCCCTCCCTACCCCCACACCTGGACTGCTGTACTGCTGGAGTTGCTCTGTGTAGCCTGTCCCACGCCGCTTCCTGAGGACAAACCAGAGTCCTGAAATGACACTCCCCTGCCATGCAGGCCACTCTCCAGCCAGGGATCTGTGGAGTGAGGGCTGCCCGATCCCTCCTTCCAGCCTCGCATGGGCCCACAGGAAGGGGCCCGGTGGTGGGAGGTGGGCTTTGGAGGTAGTTTCTGCAGTGGGCTTTGGGGCTGCCAGGATGTGGGGTTGTACTGTGGGGTGAATGGTGTGGGGACACAGCAGGGAGGGGCTCACCTCTGGAAGACAACAGCCAGCACGGTAATGGCCGCCAGCAGGAGGAAGGCCAAGGCCCCCAGGATGGACCCAATTACCAAGGAGAGTCTCTCTGGAAGTTGGGTGGACAGCTCACCTGGGGAAGCAGCCAGCCAGGACCACGCATGGGCAAGGCCTCACAAGCATACATGCCTACACACCCCCCGTGCACCCACTCACGCCCACCCACAGACCCAAAGGCCATGTGGTCAGCCATGACACTATGCTCACAGCCTCCCGTCCCACACGGCCGCCAGACCTCTCCTCGGTGACTCCTCCTGCTTCCCCCTCTCCATCCAGGCTTCCTCTCACCTTGAGGCAGAGTCTGGAAATAGACCTTGCCCCCATAGGGGCCGTGACCTGCGGCAGTCCGTGCCCGCACTTGGAAGCCGTAGATGTGGCCAGGACTCAGCTGGGTCACGGTGGCCGTGTTGGTCTCGCTGGTCAGGGTGAAGGAGTGGGATTCATCTTCTGCCTGGGGGTGACAGCCGGTCACTCCCTGCTACCCAGCCCCAGCTCCTGAGTCCTGGTCACACCCTCAGGCTTCTTGGCACCTCTCGGTCCTAGTCCACCTCCCCCATCTCTAACCCTACTGTGCGGCACTGTGAGCTCCCACCGGCCCTGTTGGGCAACCCCCACCCTCCCACCTGGTCATAGTAGCGGAGCTGATAGTCCAGGATGTTCCCGTTGGTCTGCTCTGGCTGTGGCCAGGACACCGTGATGCTGTTGGATGCCCGGCTTACCTGGTGCAACGCAGGGACTGCAGAGGGAACTGGGGGGAAGGGAGGGTTAGTGGGAGAGTTTCCAGGAGCCCAGCAGCATGAGTAGGGGCGGGGCTTCTAAGGAGGCAAGGTAAGACATCAGGCCGAGTTAGCTGAAGGCTCACCTGCATGGCTGGTGCTGACGTTGATGGCGGCAGCTTGGGGAGGGTCGGGGCTGAGCTCTGACACCCCGTTCACAGCCTGCACCTCCAAGATGTAGGGCACATGTGCCCGGAGCCCCCCAACTAACACTCGGCTCTCAGTCAGGCCCCTCTGGCGGGGGTCGAAGTGCACCTCATCCCTGCAGCGGTGACAAGCACCCCCGGTGCCCGAGCCCGGCTCCCGGTGGCCTCCACATTCCTTGCACACGACATTGAAGAGCAGGTCCCCTCGTCCCCCCAGCTCCTGAGGCAGGCGCCAGTGCAGCATGAGCACTGAGCCTTGTACCTCGAACCAAAGCTCCCGGGGAGCTGATGGAGGGCCTGGGGAGGCCGGTGGGGGCAGAGAGAAGGGCCAGAAAGGAAGGAGTGGTGGGAGGTGAGGTGAAGGAGGAAGGGTGGGGATGATGATGGAGAAAGAAAGAAGGCAGGGGAGGGGGGGTGGCCCACATGGGAGGAGACCCAGAGCAGGGGGTGGGGACCAGAAAGCAGAGGAGGCGGGTGGGAGGAGAGGCAGGAGGTGGGCCAGTGTGGATGGGGTCAGGGCAGGAAGGAGGAGAGCAGAGGGAGAAAATGAACAGGAGAAAAGTCACTGCAAATGGGAACAGCTCCACTGTGTTGCCCTCAGGCTCCCCTTCTCTGCCCACCCCCAGTCCCATTTCCAACCCTGGGGCTGGTGGGGGACTCACCAGTGCAGGGGGTCTCTGGGGGGTCTGAACTGGCCCTGTAGAAGCCCTCAAGGCAAGGGCAAACAGGGGCTGCAGCATTGGGGGCATGGCTGCGGGCGGGGCACGGTAAGCAGGGTGTGTTCCCAGCCAAGGCCTTGTAGGACCCCTCCGGGCAGGCTAGGGGGCAGAATGGGGCAGAGACATTAGGCTCACTTCATCCACCACCTCCTGAGACCCCCACCCCACCCCAGGCAAGCACGAAGACATGCCCCCAGCCTTCCATTCCTGAGGGCTGTTTCTCCTGACCTCCTGAGACCTACCCCCATCCCCTCTTCCCTCTTTCCCTCCCTGAGGCAGAGATTACTTCCACGGCCACTGGAGTAGAACTGCATTTCTGCTGATGGAAGAAGTGAGGTGCAGTGAGGGCTATGGGCAGGCCAAGTACCAGATAGAGGTGTCTGGCTTGATTGACCTTCCTGCCCGGAGGCCTTCTGCACCCTCCACCCTATAGCAGAAGGATTCCTCTTAGCTGGTCTCCACTGCCGTCTCCTACCTGCATCTTGGTCACCTGCCCTGGTGATAATCCCTTCCTAACTGGATGGCAAATAGGGACAAAGGACCCAACCCAAGATAACCCAGGAGTTTAACTCCTTTTAATCTCCATCACTTGTCAGGCCTGCAGCCCTAGGATGCTTAGCAGTGCCTAAGGAAGTCTCCAGAAGGTTCCAGAAATTTGAGATGAGCATATGACACCAAATTTGTGTGCTTTAGAAAATAAATCCGGAGAAAAACAAGAGTCCTTTCCTAAAATAGCTTATTCCTGACCTTTTGGGGACAAAATCAAGTTTGGGGTATTCAGGAGAGGTGTCCCAAGGTTGGGGAAGGTGGGGAGATCTTGGGCAAGTGCACAAGCACATAATCTCACCTTGGCAGGCCTTGTCTCCGCGGCCGGGCTGGTGTCCCGGCTGGCAACGGCAGCCCCCAACCGCTACCATCCACTTGCCCTCCCCATTGCAGTGCAGCCTCGGAGGGCTACCCCCCGCCTGGCCCCCGCCTCCATCCTCCTCTGGCTCCGCGTGAGCCACACAGGTGCCCACGGCTGCCACCAGGGAGGCGCCCCCGGCCCCACTGGCCTGCGTCTCAGGGAAGAAGGCGAAGGCGCGGAGGACGGAGGGGCAGGTGTAGGAGAAGAGCTTGACCGCCACCAGGGCCAGGCAGGCCCCCGTGTCCTGGAAGGCCACGTAGAAGCCACGCTGGGTGAGGGGGCCGAAGCTCCTCTCTTTGACGTTGAGCTGCAGCCCGGTGCGCTGCCCGGCCCCACGCGGGCCTACCGCCCACACCGAGGAGGCCGGGAAGCTCTCGTCCGCGGCGATGGTGTCCACCTTGATCCAGCGTTTGAGGTGCCAGGCGGAAACGCTGTCGGGCCCATCCGGCTCCTCGGCCTGGCGATAGTAAAGGGTGAAGGTCTCTCGGCAGGTGCCCCCGGCCACGCCCAGGCTGGCGCATGCGCGCACGGAGAAGTGCAGTCGGATGTGTGCCCTCTGTGCTCCGCGTCGCTCCACGAAGTGTGTCTGTAACCAATTGTCTTGCCCAGTGCCCGGAGGAGCCCCTGCCACGTGGCATGCCTCGAAGGTCCGAGTCAGGCGTCGCTGGTCGTCTAGAACGCTCACTTCATCCCACTGCAGGGAGAGCGGGGAGCCTCCGTTAGCTGGCAAACCCGGGTAAGAACACCCCTAAGTCCTGCTCCTCTGGGAGGGAAGGTGTCTTACTCCATTAGTCTCTACGCAGGGCTTCCTTCCCAAATCCTATATGACCAGTGGGGTGGGGGAGGCACACTGGGTGGGGAATGAAAGAGTGACACTCACCCCACCTGGCGGGTAGGTGAGCCAGCCAATCTCAGATGTCTCTCCAGTGGTGTCCAGCAGCACCTCTGCCCAGAGATAAGAACGGCATTCAGCAGCAAAGCTTCCAGCTAGGACTGCTAACCCTCGCCCCATCCCAGGAGGGAAACAGGAATTTCCCTCCCTGGTCCTTTTAATTCACCAGCAGGGGCACAGCTCTCTGTCAGGAGCCTTTCTCTGGAACCTTCCCTGTTCCTTTCACTTTCTTGATGTCTTCACTCTTCTCTGCCTTTTCTGAATCTTTCCCATTCCTCACCCAGGCTGATTGGTAGGGATTCTCCAGTCTCCCCTCCCTCTTACCTTCCAGAGCCAGAACTGAGGACCCCAGCACCAGGACCCAGAGACTGCACACCATGCCCGCCACTCTGCTCCCTGACCGGGCAGCCCCCTCAGCAGCCATGGGGCATCTTCGGGTCTCCCACCATTGCCCTGGCCACCACCCTGCTCCCAGGCAGGGCCACTGCTTTTTAAGACTGGGGTCTGCAGCCAAGCTTGCTTCCTAGGGAGACACACAGGACCAGAAGAGGCAGGTGGCGGGTAACTACATTGCTACACAGATAGTTCTCAAACCACCCCAGCACCAACCAGAGGGTAAGGGCCTGTCAGAAGCAGACTCTCTCCTGACTTGTGCCAAGTCTGCCATCTTTGAGGGCCATATGGTAGGTCACTCCCTCCCTACGTCCTGCAGGGGACGCATCATTGAACATTTCTCAAAGCTCCCCTCCCCTGCCGCCCTTTAGAGCATAGGATAGTTCTGGGCCCAACGTACCCTTTTCTTCTGAAAGGCGCTCTTTCAATTCTTCCTCTTCCTTTACTCTCCCTCCTCCTTCTAGAGCCACCCTGTATTGGAAGTCAGAAGATACTTCCATTAAACCAGGTACAGTAGAAGCTACTCCTTCCCAGGGAACACACGATCCCTCCTCCCCAACACCTCCTGACCCACATCAGACCTGGACACTCTGGACAATACAGAAAGGCAGTGGAGCAAGAGGGACCACGGAAGAGAGCTGTGGGGTATGATGCAAGGGGAGATGGGCGAACAGGAGTGAGAAGAGCATAGGCACAAAGATTCCATCTGGTAAGTGATCCAGCATAGAGAAAGGGTAGAGCTATGTAGGTCTGGCATGCCTACATTTTGTGACCAACAGTCCTCTCTCCACAAGGGGCACATTTCCTCTATGGCTTACAGAAAAATAATGTATGTATATGAAAAAATTCTTCTAGTCTGCTCACAATGAAAGGACAGAGTGTGGAAACAACAATGCCAACATGTCCTCTGAGATTAAAAATGCACTGGGTTGAAGAAGGTATGAGAACTGGGATCTCTATATTCATGGTGCTTTTGAGTTCAAATGGGTATATCTTCTTGGAAGGACAGCTGGTGATGTCTTTCTAGCAGCTTCACCTCTAAGAGTTTGTCCTTCAAGTACTGCATCCTTGGGTCTGTTTGCAGAGATGTTCAAACAAGGATATTTGCTGCAGAATTGTTTGTAAGGGAAAAGACTGGAATGTAACTGTTCATCAGTGGTAAGATATTTAATAAATTATGGCACAATCTGAAAAAAGAGTAAGGGTTACTGCTTATGCACTGATTATGAAAATGATTTCCCAAGTGAAAGTAGTCCATGCAGAACAGTGTCAAGTATGTTCCCCATTGGGTAACTTAAGAAGGCCACCCACAGACATGTACCCCTGCTGGCTCACGAGCACATGACTGTGGGGCACAGCTGCCTCCAGGGTCACAGTGAAGACAAACGGGCTCAGACCTTCCTTTGTTCATTCGTCTAGAGATTAGTGGTGACCCATCTCTCCCCTTATAACTGAGTCTCAGAAGTCTGTGAGTGGCATGGACAAGAGCCATCCATTCCATTTACTTCTGTTGAGAAGAAAGTAAGAGGCAGGTTGTTCAAAGACATGAAACTGAGAGAGAGAAAGGACGGCAGTTGGAAACTGGAATCTTGTTTCTGTCACAACGGCTGTGGCCACGTGACCCGCAGCACTCCTGAAAACGGCACACTTCTCAATGAAGTTGAAACCAACCTACTATACCATTTGACTTTGATAAATCAGAAAATCGTAGTTGGATGCCTGCTAATCTCATTTTTCCTGGCAACACAGGCTCTGTTGCAAGATGAAGCCTTCAGGGTCATCTCTACGTGGTTATCATGAAAAGGCGCTGCTGTTACAGCTGGTGAGCTGAGGTATCACGGGCATCAGGCCACAAGCCACTGAAATGCACCTTCCATGTCACTGCAACCCTGCTTGTGAGACAGAGTTTAACTTACAGTGCATGGAGGCGAGCAAGAAGCATTTCCAAATCACCGGATTATATACCTTAAGCTTATCACAGTGTTATACAACAATTGTATCTCAAAGTCAGAAAAAAGGAAGCATTCCTATACAGCAAATGACTCCTAAGAAACAGAGGTTCTCTGCCAGGACTGTCCCGAATGCTGCTAGAATCATTCACAGATGAAATGTTTCAAAGAAGAACAGGGAGATTGTGAAGTAACAAAGCATGGCTCCATCACCAATGGCTGCTTAATAAATATCCTGAAGGAACATGTGCTGTTGGCGCTTCCCCCAAGGGTTCAGTGGCTTAATTTGGAGACATGCTTAACACACCAAAGCAGACCAGACTGACCAGAGCCACAGGGTCTCTAGGAATGCTGTTATCAAGAACTGAAAATGTCAGCAAAATGCCTTTAAACAATGAAAGCTATTCTATCATTTGCCTAGCAGATATTCTCTAAAATAGCCTCTTTCAGTCAGAACATGGATGGATTCTGGAATCTGTACAAAAAGTAAACTGTAAGCACTGTGTCTTCCTAAACTTATAACTAGACAGATAATCACGAGGAGGAATAATAAACACTTCGGATGCATCTCAATGAATTTTTTTTTTTTTTTTGAGAGACAGCAAACCAAGAGGGAAGATACGTACTGCAGATCCCATCAGCTGTGCACTATGGAACATTCTAGAAGATGAGGAATGGCAGAGTATTTGCTTTGATGACCCACAATATAAGCCACACGGTCGCTTGTGGCTGCAGCAGGGCGTGTATGCATAGCCTCAGCAGGCATCTTAATGACAACATGAAGCTGGCCTCTCTCCAGAGGATCCAGAAAAGAGCAAAAGCAATTAGGGAATATGTTAAAGCCACTCTGCTTCTGTCCTCAAGAGACATCAGGAAGAAAAGAATTAAATGGAGACATGGCATGTGGACTGCCACTTCTGTAATTGTTAAAAAAAGGTTTACCAAGAACCAATATATTCATTTAAAAAATGGTGGAAGCACTTGAAGAGAGCCCAGAAGTGTTCCTTGCTGTTTGAAGGGACCTCTTTTAGATTTGGATCCAGAAGACTAAAAAAAAAAAAACTGTGGTTGAGTGAGACTAGGAAGTGAGGTCAATTCTTGCTTATCAAACAAAACAGATAAACTCAAGTCTTTTATTTTTTTTAATACATATAAAAAGAACTCGGGTGTACCTCTTAGGCAAGAATAAAAACAAGGAAAGACGAAACTTTAAGATATGGAAGAAACTGCTGTCAGCTAATCCCTACTCCCGCAGATTCTTTTGAAACAAGTTTCAAAGGCAGAAACGTAAGTGACAAGAACACGCAGCTCCAGCCACATGCCTGGAATACTGAACAAGCAGGACTTAGAACTTGATTTTCAAAGGTGCCTTCAATGGACTAGGACATCTGTCTGAGCTTAGTCTGGGAGCGCGTCCTGGAAGCAACCAAGTGCATCCTTTCCGCAACACAGAGGGGGACAGGCCTGCTTTGGATCACTCGGTCTTCTCCAGCTCGCCAAAGGCATCGGTCAGTGGTTAGAAATCGTCTCACCCACCCATGAAAGAGCCCAAGACTTATCTCAAACAGGAAAACATTCGAATTTCAGATGTGTATATGGTTTTAAAAATATAACCCACCAGAGGCAGCTGAAATGTGGATGGAAAATGGGAGCTCAGAAAAGAAGACTGATTTGACAAAATTTCAGATGACAAAAATTGCATTCTATGACTTCACATTTTTTTTTCTCAGCTTCTTTCCTACATATATCACTTTACATCTTTTTGCTACGGTAGAGACACTGCATCCACAAGCCTGCTACATTTCTTTGGTTTATAAAAATATGACAGTCCGTAGGCATCAAAATTGTGTTTTGTCTCCAGAAACTGGCAAAGATTAAAGATGTGTAGACTCTTAGCTTATACATCATAGCTTCTGAGTTCTGTTATCTATAAAAGTGAAAGATTTAAAAATAAATTAAATGAGTAAATCTGTAGGAATTTAACAAATTAACTGTCTTCAAATTGAAATGTTAAATATGATAACTTTGTGAACAAACTGAGATGGTTTTAAATAGTTTATGTACCTTGATCCACAAAATGAGTTTTTAAAAAACTAAGTATTACAAGCCAAATCAGCTTGGAGGAAGATATGGCAGGAAAATGCACTGGCCATTAAAGCTGGTTACTGTAGGAGGGAGAAATGAAGGATGGCAGAGGAGGGATTATTAATTTTGTCTTACATATATTTCAGTGGGTTTTCTTGTTACAACGAGCATATCTTATTTTTACAATTAAAACAAAATCTCGTTAATTATCATCTAAACAACAAAAAAGGGAAAACATTTTTAAAACCTAGACTAGCATAGCATATGTTTACATTTTACCCTCCCCTCCCTTCTCTCTCTAGGTTTCAAAGCAATCCAGAAATTTTCACCTATAAGGAGAAAGCAGAGATAAAGAGGCAGTTGGAGTGGGGGATGAATGAGCAAAATAACTTTTATTGCTGCATTTTCTTTAAGCTTCTCTTCAAAGAGGTTCGAACGGCCCCACTGATCACATCACGCTTCTCTGACTCAGTGTCAAGCAAAGGACTTCGGCTCTAAAGGACCAAGGGGAACCAGGGGTGCTGGGGACACCTGACCAGGGCATCGCTGCTGAGTGAGAGAGGCCGAGCAGGCTGCAGGGCCCAGTGGGGCGAGGGAGGTCCCAAGGGCAAAGGGGCCGATGGTTAACGTGTGGCGTGGCCGCAAAGTTGGCCCTCACACCTGTCAGCCACAGGGTCAGCGTGGGAGGGGTCAGCACCATGGGCCCTGTCCTCCGTCCTGTTCTGCAGCTGTTAAACGCCCAGGAAATTCCAGGATAATCCTTGCTCAGCTTAATGCTGCTACCCTTTAATCTCCACCTTGGATATGGTCGCAGTCTCTTGGAGCTCTGTCCGCCCGCCTCGAAAAGGATCCCATCAGCCCTACAGCGGCATCCAGAGCAGACAGTGAGGAGGTGGCTGTCCTCCGGTGCTTCTCGCCCCTGCTGCCCCGGCTCCAGAAGCCAGTTTGTGGATTACCTAGCAGAGGAGAGCCCTGTGTCCCTTGAGACCTCCAGCCTCCAGGAATGTCCCCCAGAGCTCGCAGATGCAGACGAATGTGCCTCCCACTCCCAGGCTGTGGAGCTGGGGGAGGCTTTTAAGAGGCAGGCAGTGTCTGGGAGTGGCAGGCAGCCACTCAGAATGAGCCACTCTGGCTGGGCACTGACCGGGCATTGCGTGGCTTTGGAAAAGGGCATAAGGGAGGGTGTTGGGACAGTCAGTTCGTGTCCGTGAGAGATAAGCAAATGGAAGATTGTAGAATCCCCCAAGAGCCAGGACCACTACCTGTGGGAGCAAGTGTGAGAGTACGTAAGGGAATGTGTGTGAGGTGAGATGCGTAAGGAGCAGCACACAAGCTGGGAGGTGTGTGTGTGTGTGTGTGTGTGTGTGTGTAAGGGTGAGAGCATGCACATCAGAGCAGATCCAGAGTGCATTTCATACTGGTCACTGATGCCCATGAGCCCTTCTCCTCACCCTGGATCTGTCCCTACTCTCCCCCAGTCAGCCTGTCAACTGGGCTCTGCTCTGGGAGTTGCTGCTGCAGAAACATCTGGGCTGGGAGAGGAAGCTGAGCAGGGAAGTAGAGAAAAGGGAAATGCGAAGCTGCCCCAAACCCCAAACCCCGCCATCTCCCTTCCCCCTCATGGGCAGTGCCGTGGGGACATAGGACTCAGGACCCAGCTCAGGAGATGGTGATGAGCTGCAGGAGAACCTGGCCCCGAGGAGGAATGTTCCTGCCCTTCCCGTGCTCAGATCGCTGCTGCCTGTTGCTCCTAGGCAGGCTGGGGACACGGTGCTCACTGCCAGCCATCTTTTGGCACCCTGAATGAACCAACAGACTCCAAAGGGGCCCTCCTCTCTAGGCCACTAGGTAGGTACACAGAAGCCCTCCAGCCTAATCTTCCTTCAAGGAAAAAAGGTCCATTGCCCTGAGAGAAACCAGTGCCCCCCCTGAATGGCACCATCAACAAATGATAGGTCTCAGTTCTGCAATGCCCATTACCTGGACATTTCCCTGCACTGCCAACAATGCCACAGCTCCTTCCCACCCAATGAGCATCTCCCCTTCTAGAACCTGAGTCAAGTTCTCCTGGCAGGGGGAGGGCCTGGCCCTGGTTAACTTATTGGGAACAGGCCCAGCCACTTCTCTCCATGGGCACTGCCAGGGACATTACAACATCGGCTATGCTGGGCCCCAGCCAGCTCCCCCAGGGATGGGAGGAGAGAGGATGCCAGACAGCCAAGATTGGTGGATGGGGGTGTAGGGCAGGTAGGGCCAAGTACCCAGATGCAAAGAGAGGGGAGTGGATCTGGGGCCTCAGAAAGCAGCAGACTTTGGCTGCAACTTGGGGGTTATGGCTGGGGAGCATGAACCAAGCCTCTCCACTCTAAAGCTTATGGGTGGTAATGGGGGTGGGGGAGCTGGGGGCAGGTGTGTGATCAACCTCCTTGCTCCTCCCAGCTCCGCGGGATTGGAGAGATGCCACTGGAGTCAGAAGGATGGGCAAGCCTTTTCAGAACGCTGGGAGTCCGGCCTCGGCAAGGACCCCTATATCAGGATCCCCAATATCTGGAGACACAGTGGGGGATCGCAGAAGCAAGGGTAATGGGGGTGTCAATGATGGCCGGCCAGAGGTCGGGGAGCCAGGCTGGCCAGTTTCGCACCCCTCAGGAACCCACCGTCGCCTTGGAGAAGGATACTCAGTACAACCCCGGGAGGCCCCCAAGGATCTGCAAAGGCCCAGTCTGGAGGGCCCCTCTACTTTTGCAAACCTTGATGCCTCTGTCCCCAGGCATACCGCCCCCCCACCCCCCCCAACACTGCCTGGCATCTCGGGGCTCACCTTCCGCCGGCCGCAGGCTCCGCAGTTCTGTGCCCCCCCGCCCCAGGCCCCGCGATGGAGCCAAGCAGCCCGTTTCTCCGCTCGGGTGCGGGGACCCGGCTCCCCGCGGCCAGGGTCCTCTCGCCGCTGCGCGTCTCTGGGGCTCCGGGGCGGCCGGGGGGCGGTGGCTGGCGGCGGGGGCTGTTCTGAAGGCGCAGCGCCCGCGGATCGTGCGGGGCCCACGTCGCGCTCGCCGTCGCCGCGCTCGGTCGCGGGTCCCGCAGTCTGCTGCTCCGCTCTGGAGCGGCGGCAGGGGCGAGCTCAGCCCGGCCCGCCCCCTCCGCGTCCCTCCCAGCCCGGCCCGCCCCTCTCCGGCCCCTGCGGCCGCCCTCCCTCTCCCCTCTTCCGGGGAGCCGAGCCCGCCCTCCCGGCCTGGGCGGCGATGTGCGGCGCCAGGCGCGGGGGAGAGCGGGGTGGAGGCGCGGGGCTCGCCCGGGGCTCGCCCTGGGCCCGCCTGTGCGCTGGGGCGGGGGCGCCTCCTCCTCCCGGCGGCGCGGGGCTGGGGGACCTGGACAAGGAGGGAGGCTCGCGCGGGGGTCCTGGAGGGGGCGGGCTGCCGTGCGGCGGGGCGAGGCGTTCAAACCCCTGGGCCGGGCGCGGGCTCGGGTCCCCGGGAGGGAAAGCGCACAGGAGGGCGGCGGATGCCGGGGGACGGCGGGGCACGGCGGGGCAGGGCAGGGCAGGGCGGCGCAGTCGCCGGCCCGAACACCCGCGCCCTCTCCCCACCCCTGCTTTTCTGCTTCAACTCTAGGAACTAAACCCACTGTTTTAGTTCCTACTCAGGTTTAAACTAAGGTGGGCGTGAGCTGTGAAGAAGAGAAAGAAGGAAAAGAAGGGGGTGGAGGGAAAGCCAAACTGAGAAATCTCGGAGGGTACGGGGGTGGGGTGGGGATGGGTAAGCAGCAGGGAGGAGGCATCTGGGTTACGAAAGTGTCTCTGATCTACCCTTAAACTCGTCTGCCCCTTCGTGACCCTGGATATTGGCTAACTGTGGGGCCTCTGACCCCACCCTCCCCAAAGTGCTGGGAAGCCTGGGTCTGAACGGGGAAGTCCAGGTGTAGGTGCCTGGCTTTGCATTGCCCGGGCAAGTCTTGCCCTTCTGGGTACCTCCTCCCTCCGCCCGCTCCCCGGGGAGAACCTCCCCCACGGGGATCTGAGGCGTTGGGAGGTACTCAGCGGGTGCCTGGAAGGTTTGAGGAAAAAACCTTGAGGGGGCGCCGCGAGGAAAAATGTTTCCGCCCACCCCTAGCCTCTTCTCCAGCCGAGGACGGGATTTGGGGTCTATTGTTCCGGTCCTACAGCCCTAAACTGGGGCCTTCCCACGAAGTGCTGCTACCACCTGCTGGTTCTTTCAAGGAACACAGGCATCTGGTGGAATTCCCTCTGGCCTTTTCCCCCTCCCCATTTCACCGTGCCGCTTCTTACTTTCCCACTTACTTCATTTATCCAAGACGAGGTAAAGCACAAGCTGCAAATGGGCTGATCAAAACTGGTACTTAAGGAGCATTCAGAAACCATGGAAAATTGTGAAAGAGATCTGTGAGCCAACAAGCCCAATAAACAAAACAATGAAACTCATTAGGAGGCACCTGGGAGAAACAAACAGGCTTTAATGAATTGGCTGAATGAGTGATGGAAACGGGCGACTGACCTAGTCCCCACTTAGAAGAGGGATTGTTCACTCTGGATATCTGCAGTCAATTAATAAGCCTAATGATGTTGAATGATTCTGCATTTGGGCATCTTTAATAAGTCACTTGCACTGGTGAGTCTAATTCTACCTTGTTTCTTCCCCTTGCTCTGAAATTCAGTGGTAGAGAGCTGCCTTCATTTCCAAATCAGTTATCTCCAAAGCCTTGTAACACTTTTGTGAAGAAACCTGAATTTTCATGGTATGTGATATTATATAACTCATGATCCTAGTTACAATAACAACATGACTGCCAGAAAGCTTTGGGTAAATTGGAAACTTTTTTAAAAGAAGCATATGATTAAATTACGTTAAAAGTATCAGCAACACAGAAACAGCAGTTAATTTATAAACCCCAGAAATTCCAGTGGTAATTTGCAATGCATCATATATTGACATTATAGTAAAAATCTCTCTTCCTTTCTATTGTCTGATATATCTCACTGTTTACACTGCCCATTAGGTGCCTATAATATGAAATTAAGCTTTTGTTGTCCAAGGCTTATGCAATGAGTATTTTTCTTTTGTTGATAACATTTAAGAGGCATTTAGTCTTCAAAGAAAGATCTGTTGTACTCTGAAAGGAAAGAGGTTTAAATATGTGATTACAATAGGCCCTGTATCATCATCTCCTATGTGTTAAACCAAGTTTTAAAGGTAGGTGGGTAGCACAGAATGCATTGTGAAGTTATGTTACCACCGTAGCTATTAAAAAGAAAAGTAATGAATCCCTTTTCAAAGTTGAACATAAATCTTTGCTATAATTTGTTCACTGCCTGGCACACATTGGGTACTTAGAAGTGTTTTAGGATAAGTGAATAAAAAATAATAGTATTTAAATTTGTTCTGTGGGGCATCTGGGTGGCTCAGTGGGTTAAAGCCTCTGCCTTCGGCTCAGGTCATGATCTCAGGGTCCTGGGATCGAGGCCCGCATAGGGCTCTCTGCTCGGTAGGGAGCCTGCTCCCCCCCCCCCCCCGCCTCTCTGCCCACTTGTGATTTCTGTCTGTCAAATAAATAAATTAAAAAAAAAAAAAAAACGTGTTCTGTGTTGAGAGGCAGGATCTAATAAAGTTTGTGGCTCACAGAATTCATTACCAGGAGACATAACTATCTATAATGTAAATTTGCAACCAAAAGAACTCCACAGGACACAACTCCAGTGTCTTTTTTTTTTTTTAATTTTTAAAGGTTTTATTTATTTATTTTGCAGAGAGAGAGATCACAAGTAGGCAGAGAGGCAGGCAGAGAGAGAGAGAGAGAAGCAGGCTCTCTGCTCAGCAGAGAGCCTGATTCTGGACTTGATCCTAGGACCCTGAGATCATGACCTGAGCTGAAGGCAGAGGCTTAACCCACTGAGCCACCCAGGCACTCCAACTCCAAATGTCTTGTCCGGGGTTTTGGATTCTGCCTCTTTTCCTTTTCCGTGTTTGCCCCTTCTCAGGCTTTTCTCTTCAACATCTTTCAATCCCCAAGGATGCTCCATTTCTTCTTTCCTCCTTATTTCCCTTTAGAATGACTAATGCAAGCTGATGTTATTATAAACGAAGAGCTTTATAAGTCATTTCTGTGATTATCATTCGAGTAAAAATCAGTAAAGGAATTTGCTAAGCCCCCAGATCTCTTATCCCAAAACATTACATAAGGCTCCATATATACAACCTCACAAGGGACCAGGCACTTCCCTGAACTCCCTCGAGGTCCTGTGGCTTCTAAGTGCAGTCTTATTTCCCAAAAGCTGGTGTCTGGTCTCCAAATATTTGCCCAATAAAAATGTCAAGTGTCCATTTATACAACTTCATTTCCCCCCCTCCACCCCGTTCAGAAACTTCTAGAATGTTCTAGGGTTTTCCTATAGTACAGGTTTTGCAACTGAATTTTAGACCAATGGTGATTGATATCCTGGGTAAAGTGAGTGATCTTCAAAGTTTCCCCATGTGAGCCTTACACTTTGACATTACTTTAACCGAGCAAGAGTCAAAAGACATTGAGAAGTATTAGTGCACAGAGAGAAAAAGGAGGGCTCTTCTCTCATAACAGAATGTTGTCTCAGAGATTGATTTCAGCTGCATGAGATGGCAGCAGAGTTGTACAGCAGTGGTTTAAACAAATCCAGTGATCCAGGAATGCTATAGCCCCAGGTCAACAAGACTTATGTTCCCACCACTCCATCTTTCAGGTGATGCCTTGTTCTCTGGTTCTCCACATGTCAGCAGTGCTCCAGCTGTAACGCCTGTTAGCTTCAGTCCCCAAAAAGAAGATGGCCACAAAACCAAGAGCAGAGCTTTGGCTGAGTTAGCACCCTTTAAAGAACCTTTCTGGAAACCCCACACACTGCCCTCTCCTTGTATGTTATTGGCCAGTGCTGTGTTGCATGACCACCCCTGCCTGAAAGGGACAGGGAAATGCATGCTGCACCAAATGAAATTCAAGTTCTGTTTGTGAGAAGGGAGAAGAGAAAGAACACTGGACAGGCAGCCAGCAGGCTCTGCCACGAACGAGCAAAGACGATCACAGTTATGTACATCTTTTCCTGCAATCTATAAAAACAGAAGCTTTTTATAGGGCATCTTTGCTGGTATTTTCCTCCCAGACTATCATGGTTAATACATATTTTTAATGCTCAAAGGTGATTCCTAGGAAGTTCTGTAGTGAATGGAAATGCTAAGAGTTTCCTATCCCTAAAATAACTATGACATCATCTCAGAAGAAAAATAACAAGTCCTCCAGTCACTCATACAATCAGAGTTGAAGATGTTCTACATTTTCATGGGAACTGGGGCAGTCCCCATGGGCAGGACAGGGTTGATAAGTGCTCCACACCATACTGCCCCTTCCTTTGTCTGCTGCATCTTTGTCCTTCTGATCCAGACAGGAGATGTGATGATCCAAAATATGGAACAGATGATCCCCTCATTTACTCTTCCAGGCAAATGCAGTTTTGTCCTCTCACTCTGGTGCTGGATAGTGTTCTCTAAAAACACCTGTATCCCCCAATATTGGAAAGGTGACCTGTGTTCCTGCAAGATAAGCCTCCAGCCTCCAGCCTCCAGCTCTAGATATGGCTGGAGCATCTTCTGGTTCTTGGGCTGCTAGATGTGCCCTGTCATAGATAATAGATTTCTGTTTCTCCATTTATATGGGATTCTGGAATCCCTCACATCAGACCTTTACGAACCAACAAAGGGAAAAAGTCAATATCAAGAATGAGTAAACACCACCACCAACAAAACTTAAACCTTTTAAGAAATCTGAGGAAAAGTGGAAAGGGAATAATGGTATAAGAGTTTAAAGAACATGTTTTCACCTTATACTCTTGTTGAATTAAAAGCAGACAGAAAAACTATTTTAAAATGTTGGATTAAAACGAGAGTGGAAAAAAAAAAAAAAGAAATGCACAATACCCTGAATAAAA